CACACATCATACCATACGATGCGATGCGATACGCTGTGCGCATAAACTCCTCGTGCATTGGTCTGAGCAGTAGGTGTCTGTGTGTAGACCCACCTTTTGGCAGGGAAGATGACGGTCTGGGCCGGCGCAGCTCCTCCGCTACTGCTGGTGGCAGAAAATCTTCATGACACACAGCGGAATCCGCCATCCAGCGAAATCCATCCATCCATTCATCCATTCACTGCCCTGTCTCCTTCTGGCCTGCGTGTGGCGTTGGTCACTTACCGATTCGCTCTGCCATGTAAAAGAGCCCCCTCACTCCCAGCACGCCGTCCCTCGTGCCCGGCTGCTCCCCGCAGCGAATGGGAAAGAGGCCCGGCTCTCCATCCGCCCCCTTTAGGCCACCCCTTTGCCATGGCCGCACGTATGGCCGCCTGCCGTCGGCCGGCACCTCCCCGAAGGCCGTCAGGGTGGCTGTCAGGGTGCTGCGACGGGCGGCCAGCTGCTGCATGGCCGCCACTCCCCTCTTGACGGTCGCGCTCAGACGAAGGAGGTCATCTGGGCTTAGCTCTGGAGTGCCCGGCGCGAACAGGGAAAGAAGTTCCTCTCGTGATATAAAAATGTAAACAGCGATGCCTACTGCAGACAAAGGGACAGAGAGGGACACAAGGCAGACACACATTCAGATCACTTGGACGTCCTCGTGTGCTGCGAATACCTTCCTTCTCTTCTGAGGGTGCCACTGACTGAAGGAGGTCTTGAGGGCTGAGCTCCGGAATGCCGGGCACCGTCTCTCCCTTCCTGTCGACGGTGGCCGTCACCGTCGCGATGCCTTTGGGCACCGGGCACTTCAGCACCAGCCTCCGCCCCGCCGACTTGCCCTCGGCGATGGCAACGCTGTCGCTGTAGTGCAGCATGCGGCGGCCAGCCGTGCGAAAGCTGGAGAGGGTGGCCAGCGAATCGGCTGATATGGCCGCCGCATGCTGTGTGGGGGAAGCGGGGACGATTTGGGCGTGGGGCAGAAGAGGGGAGGAGCCGTCTGACGCAGCGCCCTCGTCCTCTGTGTCGCCATCCGCTGCTGCTGGTGATATGTGCGTGGGGCAGCAGGGGCGAGGAGCCGTCGGATGCCGCGCCCTCGTCGTCCATGTCGGCCGCCGCTGGCGAGGCTGGTGCTGCTCGCGGTGGCGCTGGCGGGATGGTGATGGTGCCGCCCAGCTGTGGGCCCTTCTCGCCCGTGTCCTCGCCGCACACGTGCTCCTCCTTGCCCTGCTGGTCGTCTGTGGCGTCAGCGGACGGCTGCACGACAACAGACTCACCTACAAACAACCAGAACAGAAGAACCACACACATGTCAGACGCAGGCAGGTAAGAAAATGTCATTCGTGCCTGGTCTTGCCGGCTCACCGATGGCGGGGGGCTGAGGGCCGATGAGCTCCCCGAATGCTCCGGAAAGCCCTGCCCTCTTCCCAGCCTCGTCGACAACAACTGAACTAGCCATAGCCCCAACACCACTGCTGCTGCGGCCCTGCTCTCCCTCCTCCTCGCCCATGCGGCTCGCGTCCTCCTTGGCCTGCCTTGACTCGTCCTTCTCGGCCACGTCTGTCTTGCCTGGGTCCCCTCCGGGCTGCTCTGAGTCTTCCGACTCGGCGGGTGACGGTGCGATGCTGCTCTGGGTCGGCGATGGCGGCGGTGAGTCTCATCGGGGCTGCTGGACTGGTGCCGTGGTCGTCTTGCCCCTGGTGGCAAAGTTGGCGGCGGCCGGCTCGCTGATGAGATCCTCCACTGCGATGGTATCGGCCGGCTCGCCAAATAAGTCCTCCACCGCGATGGTATCCTCCTGACCCTCCTCCCCCCCGACAACGACCTCCACGCCAGACGCCCTGGCGGTCGGGTGTGAGGCCGGCAGCGACAGCAGGCTCGACAACAAGGTCGCCTGAACGGACGAAGGGACAAAGAAAAACGAAACGCGTCAGATGCAGGCAGGCAAGCAAATCTCATTCTTGTGCGGTGGTGTCGGCTGACCGTCGGCGGGGGATTGAGGGCCGATGAGCTCCCCGGACAACACCACTACCCACATCGACCATACTGCTGGTGCGATCGACAACAACAGGGCTACCCACACTGCTACTGCAACCGCTCCCTCATACTCTGTGTCGCCCTCCGCTGCTGCTGCTGCTGGTGCCGGCGTGACGATGCCTTCGCTAATCAAGGGGGCGCTCCTGTCCTCCGCGCCGCTCGACTCCTCCTTGCCCTGCTGGTCGTCTGTGGCGTCAGCGGTCGGCGGCACGACAACAAACTCACCTACAAACAACCAGAACAGAAGGAACAACACACATGTCAGATGCAGGCAGGTACTGAAATGTAATTTGTGGATGGTCTTGCTGGCTCACGATGGCGGGGGGCTGAGGGCCGATGAGCTCGCCGAACGCTTCGGAAAGCTTCGCCCTCTCTCCAGCCTCGGCGACAACAACTGAACTAGCCATAGCCCCCACACCACTGCTACTGCGGCCCTTCTCTCCCTCCTCGTCGGCCGATTTGTCGCCCTCCTCTGCTGCTGTTCTTCCTCGTGAGCACCGGCCTCCTCTTCTCTCGTCACGGCCCCGCCCCACGGCAAATCGGCAAAGACCCAAAGCCACACATGGTGTGTCTAGGTGGGCATGCTGCCTGCGTACCGCGTTCCTTCATCCGACTAGCGAAGTCTAAGAAACTCTCCTCACAGACACGCGCCGGGGTCACGCCTGACACACACACGGCAATTCATGGGTCCACTCAATGATGCCCGTACGGATGCACCAAGCGTATACCATCGATGATAATAATCCAGCCATCGCAGCAGCACAGCAGTATGGGGATCTCGGCTCTCCCCAGGGGGTTGGCCGCCGTGTCCCGCGCCACCTCAGACCGGAAGACTACGAGCACATCGTGGTACATGTACGTGTATGGGGTACGCTGCTGGACGGCCTCCTGGTGGGGCTGGTCGCGCATCAGCAGCTCCACCACGTCCTGGTTCGACATGACGGCCTGGCGGGGGGCCACCTCGGTGATGGTCTCCATGTCCGCCGACAGGCCGTCGCCGAGCAGTCGGATGGCCTGGATGTGCGTCTCGGTGGGGCGGCCGTTGCCCATGAGGGCGACTTCTGTGGTCGCCAGCACCCCACACACCTCTCCGGCCGACATGCTGCCCAGCAGGACTACGCGCTCCTCCATAGTATCCCCCTTCACCTGCACCAAAATACACGACACAGGGAGGGACCCAATGAATGAATCCTGAGAAACCCACATATCCCTCCCTCCCTCCCTCCCTCCCTCTTAGCACCTGAGCCAGACGTATGGCGTGGTAGTCGGTGGCGAGGTTGATGTACTCGCCGCACTCGCCCATCTCCTCCTTCTGCTGCCCGGGCGCGTCCAGAAAGAGGTGGTTGGGTGGTCTTGTACGGACAAGAATTGTCGTACAAGACCACCCTCTCCCCATCCATGTCGACGTAGGCTTCAACGGGCCCCTGCCGGTCGAACTGGAGGGCGAGGTCGTCCTCTCCGTCCAGACTTGCTCTCCCTGCCGGCCCTCAGCGCCCTCCACACACACTCCAGCGCCCAGTCGAGTCCCCGCCGGCAAATAACACCTGCAGCCCTTCAAAGCCAGTGCAAAGCACACGACACAACAGACCAGGGCCATGGATGGAAGAGTGTCTGCTTCAATGGTCTGTCTGTGCGCGCGTACATCGAGAAGATCATCGAGTACGTTGTTGTCCACAGGTGGGTGGCAATCTCATGGAACCCGGGCCGCGATGTCCATGAAAGAAATGAACCTCAGGATATAAAATGTAGGCGGCAATCTTTGCTGCACACAAACGGACAGAGACACGATGCTACGTCATTTGGAAGCTTTGTGTATCCTGCATACCTTCGCTACTCAAGGGGCCTGGGGGCGTTCCTGTCCTCGTCATCACTAATGTCCTCCTACTTGATCCATGAGCTCATGGACGTCGAGAAGGGCCCTGTCCACTGACTGCAGCAGCCGGGCGTGCCGCTTCTGGGCCTTCACGACGGTGCGGCTCTCATCCGGGTGCTTGCTGATGTTGGCCGCCAGGTGCATGAGGATCCTGAGCGCCTCGGTCACCCTGGACTCGTCCACGGCCTTCATCATGACCGCGATGGCGTCGTCGATCGGCTTGTCACCCCCTGCGTGGTCGAGGACCACTTTGGTGCTCTCGGCGGGGAGGTCGAACAGCTTGCGGACGAGGTTTGTCTCCTTCTCGAGTGGCGCCTCGAAGCGCTTCTTAAAGGCCACTCGCATGGCCGAGCTTCGGCATCTTGCTGTAGCGTGTGCCGTCCTGGTTGGTCAGTTGGTCCATGTGTGGCGCCAGCAGCATGTGGGCAAGCAGCGAGCAGGTGGTGTATACGTCGCTCGACTTCCGCAATGGCCCGTACATCGGGCCGCTGCTGTCGCTGCTGCTGCCGTTGCTGCTGTCGCTGCTGCTGCCGCTGCTGGTGGGAATGGGTTCGCCGGGGGATGTGGTGGTGGCGGCGGCGAGCTCCCGCTTGGCGGCGCGACGGAGGCACTCAACGCTTCTCAGGTTGGCGGCCGGGTCGTTGTGCGGAGGGTTGATGGGCGGCACAGGGACGTCGTTGACTGCTGTGCGAGTGGGGTCGAGGGGGGACACGTCGGTGTCGGTGATGGGCTGCGAGAGCTCCAGGTCGATCCACCTGGGCCCCAACTCGCCCTCTCCCCCACCCTCACCGGTGCCGCGCATCCGCCACTCCACCAACACATTCTCTGGGCTGGTGTCGCCATGGACGAGGTGGCAGGCGAACACCTCGGCCAGCGAGCGCAGCACTGACACGGCCAGCTGGCGGTAGTGCCTGCCCGTGACGCCCGGCCGCTTCAGGGTACTGTCAAAGCGCTCCATCTTACGGAGGGGGTCGCCCTTGTCCTCCTGGCCATGGAGGGTATCGATGAAGTCCCCGATGGAGCCGGCGTCTGTCCATAGCTCGTCCAGCACGGCGCGTCGTCGTCCTCCTCCTCCTCCTCGTCGCTCTCGTCGTCATCGTCAGGCAGCAGCTCCCTCCTGAGCTTGGCGACGGCCGCTCTTCCGCCGGTGTACGCTGCAAAAGGGCAGACAAACACACACACAATACAGTATGACGGTCACGAACTCGTTTGCTAATATGAGTGTCCTGTGTGTGTGCATGTAGGTGCATGTCATATCTCTGTTAACCCACCTGCTGGGGGTGGCTTCTTCACGCGCTGACGCAGCTCCTCCTCGACTGCTGGTCTCAGCTGCTCCACTGCTGCCGGCGGCAGAAAACCTGCATCACATGAACGGAAAGAAGGCAAAGTGGGATTCATGACGCAGGCATCGTTCTCCGGCTGTCCGGTAGGCTTACTTATGTATTTTGACATATAGAAGAACCCCCTCACGCCCACGACCTTCTTCTCAGAGCGACAGACCATCCTCACCGGGAAGCGCCCCGGCGCCTTCTCGGCGCTGCCCGCCCTCGTCCCCTTCGGCCACAGCCACTCGCGATCCGCCGGGATGGTGCCGGACGCCACCACTGGGGACGCGAGCGTGCTGCGGCGCGCCGTCAGCTCGAGGATGGCCTTGGCCTCCTTCTGCAGGGTGGTGTTGTTGTCCTGCAGCTGCCCCTTTGTGAGCTTGCCCAGCCCCTCAGGGACGGCGCACTTGAGGATGACGCGACCGGCAGCCGAGTGGCCCTCCAGGATGGCGAAGTACTTGGGGCTGTGGTGGACGAGGCACCTTACGGAGGGGCGGAAGGTGGAGAGGATGGCCAGCGACGCCTCCTCTGATGTGTCTGCCGCCTCCTGTGTGCGCGCGTCAGAGGCCGGTGCGTTGTGGATGTGGGGCAGCAGTGGCGAATAGCCGTCAGACGCACCGCCCTCGTCCTCGGTGTCGCCTTTCCATGACGATGCGCTTCGGCGTCTCCTCGCCGTTCGTGTCCTTCTGCTTGCCCTGCTCGTCGGCAGGAACAACAATCGCAGGAACAACACACACACCTCAGATGCCGGCAGGCAAGGAAATGTCATTCATGAACACTGTTGTCTTTCCGGCTCACCGTCGGCTGAGGATTGAGGGAGAGCTTGAAGTGGGAGACATGCGGGGCTGCGTGGAAGAAGTCCTCTCGCGATATAAAATGTAGACAGCGATATCCACTGCAGACAAACAGACAGAGACACAAGGCCAGATCACCTGGAAGCTTTGTATACCGTGCATTCAGACCTGCCATCCATCCATTTGTCTTTGGGCTGCTCCTCTCCTCACCATCGCGGCGTCTGCGGACGGTGGTAGTAGTGGGGCCTTTTCTCTTTTGGCTGGTCACTGGTGTGGGGGAGATGGCACATGCTGCTGCCGGGCTCTGCTCGCCGAGTGTTTCAGCCTACACACAGACACGAAGATGCCGATGGAAAGGCCTGGATCCATCTCATTGTTTACCGTTGACAGGGTCTCGTACCCCCGGGCAAGAGTACGCCGGCGCTCTCCAGCAGCTCCTGAAGGCACAGACACAACCAGAAAGACAGAGATCTTTCATGAATCCAACGCCATGTAATACAGATCTTTTCATCTTGGCCCATCGGACATTTCTTTCTCCCCCTTCTCACCCTGATTGAGGGGAGATGACCGTGCTGCGCGCATCGTCCTCCCTGATGCGGCTGGCGGGGCGGTTGTGTGGACGAGAGAGAGGAGCGGCCGACAATGGCGAGCTCACTGGCTGCTATTGTCTCCTCCTCTGGCCACAGGATGGCCACCACACCGGCGACGAAGAGGGTGGCCATCTCGAAGCACATGAGCCCAAGCCCCGGTGCCGCCGTGACGGCCATGGCCCCACCGGCCGTCACTGCCGTTTTGGTGGCGAAGGCGGCGCCGACAGCGAAGATGGTCTCGACGAAGGGCATCTCAGTAGGCTGAGATGAGCAGGAGGCGAGAGAGGGGGACTGGGATACATTGGGGGGCTGCCTGAGAAGGGGAAGAGGCTCCTTTCGCGATATAAAATGTAGCCAGCGATAGCCCCTGCACACAATCAGACAGAGACATAAGGCCAGATCACCTGGAAGCGTTGTGTGTTTTGCGTACCTGCTTTTCTTCAACCCGCTCGACACACACATCGACCACCCCCCTTATTCAGCAGCATCACCACTAGCACCACTAGCACATGCATGTGTGTATAGAGTTGGTTGCAGCTGTCGAAATCACACCGTACACATCAGAAATCACATTCCATCCATCATACTTATCCCCTCATGCTTATCTATTCCCCTCTCCCTCTCCCGGTTGGCCCGCTCTAGCTGCATGTGTCTGTGTGTGTGCGTAGTTCAGTAGCGGGCCTTCTTCTTGCACTGGGCGTAGAAGTCGCGCGCCGCCTGGGAGGCACACTGCGGGACGAGGGGTCCCAGCTGCTGCTTCTTAATGAACCCGTCCAGCTCCTCTCGGAGGCAGGCGTCGTCCTCGGCCTTGCGCCTCTCCCTGCGGCGCTCCGCCTTCTCCTGGCGGGCCTTCTCGGCGGCACGTTCGGCGGCGGCCTGCGCTCGGGCGGCCCTGAGCTCCTCCAGCTCCTTCCTCCCGCCCTTGTCGTATGCCTTCTCCTCTTCCTCGTCCAGGGCCTCGCCGTCGGAGTCCGTGGGGTAGATGATGAGTTCGTCTTCTTCGCTCTGAGCAGATAGGCACATACAGGCAGCAGACAGAAAAGGCATTTGTTTGTCCATCCATGCATCCATCCAGATCTGTCTGTGTCAGATCTGTCTGTGTCAGATCTATGTATCTATCCAGCACGCTCACCTCCGACTCGTTGGCCTTCCCACGTGTGGCCTTCGCCGCCGCCTACAGAGCCGACAAACACACACGTGGGCCCAGGCACGGAGAGATCTGCAGGCCGTATTGTCAGGGCCGACCTTCTTCTTGGCGTCAGGGTTCACGCCGCGCCGCGCCCGCCCTTCGCATCGCTGTCCAACCCGGGCATGATGCTGACAACAGCTCCTTGGTGATGAGTGCTGCCTTGCTCAGCTCTTCCAGCGCTTCAGCTGAGAAGAGACACACACCAAACACACACACACGCACACACGCTCTCCCCATTCCCTCATATGCTCTCTCACCTGACAACATGCCTCCTGACGACTGATACTTCTGCACGACCACGTCCCGACTGAGGGAACGCACAAATAAAGGCACACGTTGAATGGACAGCTGCAGCGCATTCATCAATCCATTCCCCCCCTCCTGCCTCCAATGTGCAACTCTTTGCATACCCTGTCGTGCGGCTATCTCCTCACTGCACTTGGCGATCATCTGAGGCTCGTTGAGGCAGCGCAGCCCGGCAATCTGGGCCTCCACGAGCCGGTCTTCGAGTT